TTATTACAAACAGTGTAAAGTCATGTAAACCAGACCATGAATCAATATCTAAAGCCATGAACATTTGCTGTTCTGTTTGTATAATTGAAAATTTGAGCCAAACATTTTCTTTTGTTGTGTAAATAGCGACTTTAATATATATCACCAGGGTGTGAGTACATACTGAAAGTACTGTACGATCGCTGTTTTCAAGAAAAGTATATTTTTGTGGATTACAGCCAAGTTTACAAGAGTAGACCCTTAAAAAAAGTAGATCATTCACTGGTCAATATTTGCTATTGTGTTCATTTTACTGTCATCTCTTCTAAATTGAATTATCAAGATAATCTCCTATGTGTTTCAGTTCCAGATGGTCGATTTGGTTTTTTTTTTCTCTCTCTATTAGTGGTGACTGTTTGTCCTTAAGACATTGTAATAATAATGCTGTGAGGTTGAAGTTCCACTATTTTCATATTTGTGAAGGATGATCACAAGGCTAGGGGAAATAGGGTTTCTTCCCTCCTATTGTGTTAGCTCGTGTTAGTTGTGTACCAGCAGCTGCGGAATACACTGCCAACATTCAAACCCAAGGTCCCAGCCCCACATTGAAGAATAATCTATTGTTATTGCATGTAGCTCAACTGAAAGACATGCCATTTCTCAGGCTATTTCCACTATCCTGTTACCCGTTTCATGGAGTTTAAGCAGAAGACACACACGTGGTAGAAGTGGCTGCTGACCTTCACACAAAATTTATCATGCCTGTTCCCACATGTGGTTGTAAATATCGCAGTCTACTTGAAATGTCAGTCATAATTATGTACAAAAATACTCCTGTGTTTCCTTAATTGGCTCCAGAAATTGTATCTTATATCAATGCCCTATAACTTGTAGGAGTACTGTAGGCCTAGGAACCTTAGGAGCCAGAAAAGTGAAAATCTGAAGGTGCTTAAGTCATGTATGTGAAAGGTGTTGCAACATAAGGCTGATGCCTCAGTCATCACACGTTGCAGAGAGGAAAAAGGGGCTGTGACTTGTTTTCTTCTCCATCATCACAGAAGCAAATAATTCAGCAGCTAATTCATAACAACAACAACAACAACAACAACAACAACAACAACAATGCAATGTCATTGACTTCAATCTCACTGCTGGATTGCACACATTTGTATGAGAAGTTTGCTGTACAAGAGAGGTTATCGCTCTGCATTCGCCGTGACATATCTTATGTGTGTTTCTGAGGTTTCTGTTCTCGCCGCCCCCCATCATCAACACCACAGTAGTTCTCAGTATAAGCCCATAATGATCTATGCAGTTTTACCCTCAATTCACATGACATACACAGAATATGATGTCATTACAGGTCATATGTAGTCCACAAAGCATTAGGAAGAGACTGCTAGCCTCTTATCCTGAAGTGCCCGAACTTCAAGATGCATATGATACATTTAATTAAATTGATTGATTTGGATCCCCCGGGGCAATCTCTTCATGTTCATATACATTAGTAGACATTACATGATGTATAGTAGTTCATAATGTAATCCAGTATAACACAGCAGGTGAAAATAGCAATAATAAATGACTACAACAAAAATTGTCTGCCTGTCTTGGCAGCATCACCTCGTAGTTGAGCACATACTTTAGCACTTGATAACATATCAGGGAATTTTGTAGTTTCTCTATCTATATGCACAGTTAGAAAATGCCTTATCCCAAAGAAAAATTACACCACTTTTATTTTCTCTCAGTTAAAGAAAAAAACCAACAATGCAGATATCACTCAAACTTGACCAGACCTGCCTCTTCTCAGAAAAGACTCACACAAGAAAATGCACGGTGAATGCACTGTGATACACTTTGCTCTTTGGGTCTATGTCCAAATTGTGCACAACTGATGAATGTGAAAGGAAAGGGTAATCAATGAACCTTTGTAGAGGACTTTCTTCACTTTGCTGTGCAAGAGTACACTGCTTTGCTTCATGGCTTTTATAAACAGAACTATGTGTTTGGTAAGTGTTTGTAGTTGATAGTTCACTTAACTAAAGAAGCTGTTTTCGGTTTGGATGCTCAGACCGTTTGGCGGCACAAGCTGGACTTTGTTGCCAATAATGAAATTATTTGTTTCAAAATCGAAAGAGATTTTAAGTTAATCTACATTTTATTTCCCTTGAATGTGTTATTTTATTTTCATCATACAATAAATATTCAAGTGAACTTTTTATTAAACAAATAAGATACTATGCTAGATATTGTTGTACAAAATTTGTATTCTTCACAAAAGTACAAATATTGGCTTTTAATGTGTAATTTAGGTTATCTCTCTTATTCTGTATAAAATGAAGTAAACAACTCTTACATAGAATTTGTTCTCATGTGAAGTCCCAAACAGTAGAAACTGTCAACTTTATTAAACACCTCAGTGTATGCTCAATCTGAACTCAATGTCTATTCCTCTTTGAATTTCACTTTGAAAATGTATTTTATTGACCTCATAGATCAGTTGGTACACTGTCTGGAGCCACTGCCATTGTCTATCACACAATGATACAATCGAAACAGACAATACAATCCTGTTAAAATCTTCAAATCCCTGAATTTATTTATTTTTATTTAGATTGTCTGACATACTCTTTCTGGTAAATTCCAGTTATGAAATGAATATTAAAAGAGAAACATAGCTGATGATTCAATGGCAGATCCTTTGCTTAAGAAAAAGTAATAATAGCACAGTTTAAATGTATAAAGTATAAAAAGTAAAAGTACTCATTATGCAGAGTGACTACAGTCAGAGTATTATTATTATTATTTTCATATATTTTTGGATTACTATTACTGGTGTCTCTTTTAGCCTTTAGTTGACTTGAAAGGTGTTAAATCAATGAGGTTTTATCTATATATAATATGGATGTTCATACAGATCAAATGCAAATACCACACAGTAGAAACAAGAAACAACATTTCACAGGTGACACATAGTGGTCTTGTCACCTAGTTCCCCTGTAGCAGTAGCAGACGACATCCGTGTAATTCCAGGGTATCACCAGCAGAAGGCACTGTAACACAATGAGTCGATACATCTTGTTAGCTCAGCTCAGGTAAGTTGGTAAACCACTGAAGCTAACAGGTCACGACAACAACTGTCTGGAAAAAAACAACAGGTAGCTAACCGCTGGTTGGACCTGTTAATCGGTCATTTTAAAGATGTGAAAAGATAACAGGCTTAAACTAAATATACAGATATATATCCACAGGGACTCAAGAAGTTGTGTTTTTAATATATAAAGTAAGTTTCATCATTTCAAAAGTCAACGTTACTTGTACTTACGTGAGTATTTCCGTTTGGGAATTAGTCTTAATTCTTTGATTTCAATACATTTAAGGGAAGTGGTTGCTGTTGGTACTTTTTCTTACCCCATTTATCAATAGTTATGAGTTTCTTCAAGGTACAGTTGGATAATACGTCCAAAACATTAAATAAGGTCATAAAATATGCACTGGAATAGCTAGCTAGTGGAAACAAGTTAATGTCAAGTTAACGTTATACGTTGTATCTAAATACGTTTACTTTCGGTACAAAAGTAAATTTTACTACTTACAGTTATTTGCCAAAGTTGAATTCTGAATTTTGGACTTCATTCTCATTTTCTCCACTGTGGCATTGCTATGGTTATGCATAAGTAAAAACATTTTTTCCATCACCACTTGAATAGCAAATCATAAAACACCGCGAGACAACCAGGGGTTTTAGGTCAGCTGTGTAGTTCAATCTTTCATCCGGTATTCACTCTGAAAGGCTTGCATGTGCATCACTCTGTATATTTGTCCCCAAGTGCATGTTCTTGGCTTCAAGTCCATCAGACCAGCTGTGCTGCAGCCTGGAACAGGTCCAGTATGCATGTGTAGAGTAACTAAGCAGGGTTTTGGGATGTTTGAGTTGTGTGAGAAGGAGGGCGACAGGCCACCTGCCATAGGGGCTTGCCCTGTTCGGATCCCCAGCCCTGCCTTTCAACTGGGAGCCAAGTTGGGGTTCTTTCATGTGGGCCTGATCTCTTTAAGACATCGGCAAATATTGAACAAGACTCTGTCCAAACTCAAACACATCTGTTGTCATACACTGTAGTCTCCACCGTTAGGCACAGACAAGGAGAGGGAGATTGAACACCAGTGGGTGGCTTCTATGTGTGGACAGACAGCTATAGTTTATACTTTGCAAACACAAATGCTCACTTTTGACGAGCGTAGGCTAAACCTTGTTCCACTGTAAACAAATATGTGGCTGTGGGAAAGAAATGGAGTTTGGTATGACAAGGCAGCCACTGAGTGCCAGATCCATGCTGAAGATGAGGGATGAGATAAGATGAACAGATCATTTCATCATTTCACATTTCATATGCCACAGTCATGTTGCACAATCCATCAGCAGTATTTTGAGACTGTTTTGGACAGATATGAAGGACAGTTGTATTGTAGAATTAGGATAGATTATGGCATTAAGTATATTTTCAAATACTTGGACTTATAAGAGAACCCATATTAGAGGAAGTGTAATGCATGCAAGTCTTAAAACAGACAAATAGCCTAACAAATGCAAATAAACAGTCAAATTTTCAAATCAACAATAAACAGACTGACAAAACTGGCTGTTAAATTTGCTGTATAGTGAGCAACTTTTTCATAATAGTTTCAGTGCTTCAGTGTCTATTTAATCTTTTCTCACAGTGTCTTAATTCTCTGAATATTTGTCATCTGATTTTTTTTTCTGATCCCGCATAACTTGTCATACTGTACTGTTGTGGCTCTATTAGTCATGCTAGTCCTGGGCAGGACTCAACCCTTAACACCGTATAACTGGCATTATCATAATTGTTGAAACTCACCCTGTGAGACTGGTATGGCTAGTTCAACGCAGCTTGGCCTCTCCAACCAATCACTTGTCTTCAAAGTTGTCATCAAGCAGGAAAGGTAAGTCATTGTCGTTTACTCCTTCCTCTTTTTCATCATAGTTAGTATGGCTGAGCTGCTTGTTGGAGAATTTGTTGCTGCTCTCGGTGGAAACTGAATCAGTTTGTTGCTCTTTCAGGCTTTTCAGTAGAGGTCAACTGAACAGGTATAGCACGATATTTTCTTTGACTAAATAAGACTGAAATGATGGTGAAATAATTAATTTGGAAATGTTTGTAAGATCAAGTATCAGGCCTTGTAATTAATGCTAAGATTTTACTATGATAATCAAAGCAAAATTTTGCTCAAAGCTAAGTGTGAGTATAGCCAACATTTTTTCAAGATCGAATCATAACTTTACTGGCCATGCCAAGTGGCGATTTATATTTGGCTGTTGTAGTTTGTATCATTTCCCTTGACTGAGTCTGAGCAGTACATAAAGCACCTTGTTTCATTGTGTTAGACCTGTAACACATTTTTTTATTTATCTGAAAGGTATCACTCAAGATGGAAACCAAGAAAAAGAATTTCTTGGAGAACTTGCGTCTGAAGACTAAGTTGCCCAACCTGAAGAAGCCAGGTAAGAAGGCACTTGCCAAGCAGGGGAGGAGCCTGGCTCATCGGCGCAGTATTTCTGTACCAGACCTACGGTTGGTGCCAGGTGGAGCATTTTCTACAGATAATGCCTTGTTGTCAACTGACTCTGATACCTTTGGCATCTCTCCCCGTCTGAGTGATACTGATTCTAATGCAAGCGGCTCAGTCACTGATGGACCACCTTTCACAGACAAACTCTATGAATCAGTCCCAGAAACTACAGTCTGGGTTCCTACAGCTCACATGGGTGCAGGTTTGAAAAGGATGAGTGGTCCAGTCGAGACACTGACCCTTTATGAGGAAACTGATGATATGATAAATCCAGGCTCAGAGGATGACGTGAACTGGACTCGAGAAGCCTTGTATGCACAAGTGAATAAAAGAGCCCATGGAAATGTACCAACATTTTCTGTTGACCCCATTCCTGCACCAAGATCAGTTTTTACTGACACACAAGTTCTTTCACTAAGACCAGACCTTGGAGAGAGAGAGAGTCTCAATGGAGAAGAGAGAGTGCTCTCAGGTCCTCTTGCAGCAGCAGTGGCCAGAGCAAGCTCATTGGGAGACCAAGTGAAGCCAAATATAGAAAAGAGGACCACACCATTTGAACAGAGAAGGCCATCATCTGAAAAAGAGACACTGCAAACATTCAGAAAAAATGCTCTTATTCCAGATAGCATTTTCCTGACATTAGATTCTCTGGGTACTCCTTTGGAAAGTGCTGATGTTACCTCAATGGACTCCGCCTGTGGCACCCCCAGTGAAGAGCAAGTCAACATGCCCTGGACAACAGACTCGGAGGAACTGGACCGCGAACCTTGCCCTCCCTTTGTGATGAGACAGTTCTCCACAGAAGAGGCTTTACTTGAAGAAGCTCAGAATGAGGAAGGCCTGGAAGAAATAGAGGTCAGTTTTATTATGTGAATTTAACTACAGAGGATCCTTTTTTTATTTGAAGTCTTCATGCACTTTAGATTTATGTCATTTGAAATTTGTCCTGTCATTTAGTGATTAGTGAAATAACACTGATCCAAACCAATCCAGTCCATACACCAAAGACCTTATACTTCTACAAACTTAGATGAAACTAATTATTCCTTAGAAATTATATTCAAGTATGCAATCTCTAGTGCCACAGTAAATTGGTCAAGAGGAGGATGTGTGAAGTTATGAAGGCATTATGAATAAAAACACATAATTTGTCAGAAATATAATATAAAGCATCAACACAATAAGTACTTTGAGTAACATATATTTCAACATTGGTCACATTCACTTGAATGTTTGCATTTTTTCAATTTCAAATAGTGTAGTTTGTCATTTTGCATACTTCAGCTGTTATGCTAAGAGGTGTCCTCGCACTCTAATATGGTTTCTGAGCATATACTTTATGACAGTAACTATTCAGTCTACTGGTGCAACATATCAAAAGCATCCTCACAAGGTTGGTGTTAAATATAAAGTCACCACCTGGGATTTGACTTTATACAGCTCCTGGGTATAGTTGAAACTAAGGCTGTTGTGTGCTGTTTTGTCTAGATGACTCCTAGATATGGAAACCAGTTGTAAACCAGTGTGACTAGTTAGACACAATGTGGCATGAAGAACTCTATAAAAAAAGTACACAGAGGTTGATAACATCTCATTTTGCCTCAACAGTATTTACATTCTGTAGACACATTGTTTGTCCCTAAAAGACATTCTCTATAGTCATGAGGAACGTTAAAGTTTGTCTTGAAATGGATGAACATCCTTATGTGAACCACAGAGCAGTGCACACACATCTCAGCTTGACTATACTATACAAAATGTTCGTGATCTGATGTTTCATAAAATGTCATTGCAACCTTTTTTTGTATGTAGATGTGCAGTGAACCGTATGACTTCTTTGACGAAAATCCGCAAGATCCTTTAGAAAACTCTGTGAGTACTTACTGGACTACTGTACCCATTGAAATAACATCTGACATGAGAAAGCATACAAATGTGAATGGTTCTCCACAGCAGGTTTTGACGGCTGGGCCTGAGGCTCAAGTACCTCTCCCGTTCCAGAGATACCTCCTGAACATCAACTTAAAGCAGGGAAGGAACCTGGTCATCAGGGACAAGCGCTCTGGTAGGTCAGCAACCTGCAGGTGATGTATAAGTTGTGGCTTTTCACAGCCTGAAAGACCAAGTAGCGGTCTCACTTGGATCTTAAGAGGATAATTACTGTCTCTTTATAAGCTAACATCACACTGTTGTCTTAACTGTAGGAATTTTGGATGCATCAGTACAGATCAAGAGATGCCAAATTGGATGTTGGAAGTTCTTGTACACCCTAAAAATATGCAGTTCTTTGTATGTTGGCTTTTAGAAAGGGTGCGCCCTTGATGAAGCACTGCATGTACACACAGTGTGTATACATCTTGTTAATCTTGCTGTGTTCATGAACCAATCAAACTGCGGAAAGTCGTGAATGGGAAATGTGTTATTGTGTATAAAGGCAAGATGAGACGTGTTCAGTTAATGCTCCTGTTTACTTGTTAGGATGACGTCTCTTGTCAAGTGGTGTATGTACAAAGAAAAAAATGAGAAGTATGCTGTCAGACCAGTATGACAAAAGACAGACTGGGATAAAGCAATTGGTACTCATTACATGAAACCACTGGTACTGACACCTGTTTAAACAGCTGATTTTGAATGGTATGCCAGGGATATTGGTGGTGGATTCTTTGCTAAATTTAATTGATGATCACATAATTATAATTCTTAATCTCATATCTAATAGGCTTTCTCGAACAAAGAATGTGGCTCACAATTTTTAAAGAAAAAGTTGCTATCAACTTACCCCACAAATTATCATGTATTTAAACATTTCCGGCCGCACAGTTTTTTCTCTCAATTACTTTGTTGATGTATTTACTTTTTCTGCAGTTAGTAATTGACACATCCAGGTATAAAATCAAACATAACCTCTTTTTAATGAACTGATTTCCATAACCGGGTTGCCTGTTGAGATTTGAATCACCAGTGACAATCATATTGATCTGTGAGAGAAAGATCGACAGAGAGTATGAAATACAAATTTCCATTCATCATGACCCTTCCCTGAGGCCCTGTTGAGTTTACTTTGGGAAAGCAGTGACATCAAGTGGACATAAATGGAACTACGACATGAGTAAATTCATGTGTGGTCTCATTAAGAGTGATTATTCACTGACTATTTTTTGTACTAATGTGGTTAGGTTTACCTAAAGTAAAAATTATTTTTATAGCAGAAGTTTTTGAAATGACAGTACTTCAAAGCCATGTTAATCTGATCTAATTGAAAATATAAACCCTTTGGTTATGCTGTGGTTTTAACCAATATTATACTTGTAGCTCCTGTAGCTTTGGGAAATCACTTCACAGCTTAACAGTGAAAGGACTTTTTTTTTTACCATGTTTAACTGTTTTTTTTTCCTGCATGGTGGCAGGACACCCTCCTAACCCAGTGCCCTACTCCCTGCTAGTTGAGACCTTACTTTCCCTGACAAGATGGCACCATGATGATGCAATCCCCACACGCCCCCTGTCTTTCCACTGTTTGCCCAACAATCAACACCGTGCCAAAGGCTCACCAATGGCATACATTGTCATTACATATTCTGAAAGGACCCACGCCACCGGCCCCCACTCCTTGGTTTTTGTTCTCCCCTTTTTTCCCCATTAATTTCCATCGTCACCGTTCTCAGTCATGCCAGAGCTTTTCTCCTTGCTAGCTGCCACATTCTCCTCCTGTCAAGTTGCCTGGAGGTTTCCCTGTCACAGGCTGGCAGGGTGGAGCTGCTGTGGGTCCTGCCTGCCTTTGCGAGATGTTCATTTGGAGTGGGGAGCTGACAGGCCTGACAGCCCATCCCCACAGGGCCTTTGTCATGTGATTCAAGCCTCCCTGCAGGCTCTCTCAAGCACCCCTTTATTCCCCTATACAAATGAAGGCATGGGACTGGCTTTCATTTTTTGGCCAATCTGCATGCAATTGCAGAAACAAAGAAGTCCCATACCCCCACCCCACTCACAAACAGACTTTCTTAACAGGCTTGGGAGATTAACACTGGTTGCTTCTAGATTTTGGTTTCTGGTTGCCTCATGCTGGCGAGTGTTTCTACTCTTTCACAATTAAACAGCTACATCCCTCTGTTTTTGCCATGTGTGGGGTGCGCCTCCTCCTCACATATTTCAGTCTCTCACACAACCAGCATGGGGGAAGGGTGTGTATGTGTTTGTGTGTGTGTGTGTGTGTGTGTGTGTTTATACACAGTGTACATTTCTAAAGTGATAATATGTTCCACACGAAGTAAACATAGTTTGCATCAAATAATTCTTTTTCACCATGAATTGCTATGAAAGCAGTGTTTTTACACTTTGATTGTGCTTTATGTTAACACTTGAGGCCACATTGTCTTGCTGATTTGCTGTTATTTCATTTGAATTTTAGGTACTAGTGATCCTTATGTGAAGTTCAAACTTGAAGGAAAACAGTTCTATAAAAGCAAAGTGGTGTATAAAAACCTGAACCCACAGTGGAACGAGTCCTTCTCTCATCCTCTGCGAGATCGAGAACACATTGTGGAAGTTCGAGTAAGCAAGGTTTTTTTGAAAACGCGTGCATTATCTTACGATACAGGAGCCCACAATTAAAATTTGTAATCTTAGTGATGTTTGTAATGTCGTTGCAGGTCTATGATAAAAATCGGACTGCTGATGAGTTCATGGGTTCCGGTGTTATTCCCCTGAAAGATATTGAATTGTACAAGTGAGGAATATATAAATCTTTTATATTTCAGGGAACAGATTATCATAAGGATATTCATAAATGGGCATCAGTTTGGTCAAAGGCATTGCCTTTCTATCTTTTAACAGAACCTATGAAATGGAGTTGCGTCTTGATGATCCAAAAAGTAAAGAAAATGACATGGGGGTGATTATTGTTGAAGTCTGCTTAATGTTCAGAGATGCTACCATCAAAAGAAGCCCTGTAAGAGTATTTTAAGTATTTTTTTGATGCAAATATTTTCACCATAGTCTCTGAATTCTTTGCACTGATTCTTGTAATTCTTTTCTTTTTATAGAGATGGCCAGCAAAGAAGAATAAGGTATGGATTATGATATCATCACTTTTAGTTTTTAACTTGATTTTTCAAATTGTATCCTGAATGCTATTAGTATTCCTGCATTTAACTTTGTCATTTACACAGTAGAGATTACAGTTACCCTGATGTGAAGCACTAGGGGGCAGTAGCTCACTGTACTATGGTGCAACAAAGAATGAGGTGTATGCTCAGGACTAAGGCTTTTGTGTGTAACCTTGGTTTCAGCATAGCCTATTTCTTTTGTGGTTTTATAGTGAACCTTTTTTGCAATGCATATTATTTTCAGTGGTATCGTTTGCTGTGAAAAAGTATGGTACAATGTTACATTCTGATCAAAACCAAAATAATAGCGTTGTCTGAATATGTTGTCATAAAAAAGCCCATAGTTTAGTATTATAGAGCAGTATTTGGTTTTGTAGTAAACAAAGTTCCATCTCTCTCTCAAGTGGCTTTCAATATATTGCAGCTGTAATTAGATTCAGAGTGAAATAGGAGGGTGGCTGTTTGGGACTCACACTGCAGCGAGTGGGTTTATATTCACACCTATGTAGTCACTACATCTGCCACTGTTCAGTCTCTTGATGGTCCAGTAGACAATCTCAATTTGAAATTAGATGACAAAGGAATGAAGCCATTTTCATACACATTGTAGGTTATCCACTACAGATGGTTAAAGATACTCAAAGGGAGACAGAAATGTGTGATGGGACTCTACACAACGTTCTGCTGCCTAAATCACAGTGCTAATTTAACAATGTAACAATGCCATTTTTTTTCCCATTTCATTTTTGACAAACATACAATATCTTATTGCATTTAACACCTATCCTGGAAGTGCTGAATACCCAGCTCTTACGGCTCTACTCCCCCTCTTTCAGAACATCGTTTTCTCCCTCTGTGTTACCACCACAGAGACAGGGAATGGCAAGTGCCGAAGTAAAACTCTGCTGTGTGATAGTGTTTCAAACAGGAGGGGGGCGTATGGTAGAAGTGGGAGGGGGGGCTCTGCTGTTCGAGGCATGTTGCCAGTGTGGGATGCCTAAGATCGGCAAGGCTGATAATTCCCAGGCATAGCGGGCAATAACCCAGATGTTAGGATGTAATATCACAGCTGTGGATGGACAGTGCTGAGGTACTAGCCAAATGGTCCAGGGTCTGAGCTCATCGTGCTTGTCCCCATGCTGTCCCACCATATGGAAGCAATCGCACAGCCCTTTTAGGACCAGGAATAGATTCTCTTTAGGGGCCACTTACAGTTAAGTGGAATTGTTTTATTGGCCGCTGAGATAGAAATGTGTCCAAGATAAACACTTGGGATGACTTGGCTGAGGCCTGTTTTATATCGCTCCTCCACTCCCTCTGTTCCTCTTCTTTTGAAGGGGCTGATATTTATAGGGCTGTGCCTGTGGTATTCCATGTTAATTCAGGTCCCTGAGATGTGCTTTGATCCCCTTCGGATTGGGTGGCAATGTGGGTTGTGACCCCGTAGTGAGGAGGAGGGGCCGGAGTGGCAGGGGAGTTGTAGTGGGGCTGTTTGAAGCAGCATCGCTGGGGCAGCTGAAGGAGCTGGGCAATCAAAGAGGCTAGAGCAGATTACGGTCCTGCTCTTTAATTACAGTCAGCCCTACACAACCTCTCTGCTGTTTGTTTTTACAGCCCTGGCCTATCACCGCATGGCCTCACGGGAACTCTTACATGGAAACATATCAAGGCCTCTCTTTCTCACTCCCTCTGTGACACACGGCAGGAGAAGTGGATTATTTGCTGTGCTTGTCCTTGATTTCCAGAGTTCTCTAATGCACAACATCTTTTTATTTTTATAGCTTCACATTAGTGGAAAAGATTTGTTATTTCTTTGGTTAAATTAAAATTGGATGAATTTGCCAACATGCAGTAAACTCTGATGCTGGCCATACATACTGCATGTATGCATAATTTGCTGATGAGAGAGCTGTGGGGTTTGCATCATTACTCACTGCTGCCTGCTGTCTCTGGTGCAGTATGCCAAGTGTCCTGCCTCCCCACACTCAGTCTGGGAGCCAGTGATGAGTGGGACTGTCACAGCCAGGGACATCTGGCTGCTTGCTGACGTCCCTCTCTTCCTCTCTCTCCAGGAGCCTCCGTGGTGTGGCTTGCCTGTCAGTAGAGATGTGCTAATGTGCTCCAACAGAGATGTGCTGTATAGTGTAAACCTTTGTCCTACTTTCATGCACTCTGTGAACATGATGAGGTGCCAGGCTGAGGCAGGAGCAGGTAAACAGAGGAGAACGCACAGAGCCTCCACACACATGGTGCTTTAAAAAAAAAAAAAAAAACTGTCTGTGTGTATCTTTGCCCCGCAGCAGAACCAGGCCACACCAACCCAGCGGCCAGCTGAACCAACGCAGAAGAACCAGCTGAAGAACCAGATGTGGTCTGGGGTTCTCAGATTCACCTTGATAGAGGGACAGGACCTGCCTCAGTATGGCCATGGTGACATTTATGTCCGCTTTCGCCTTGGTGATCAGAAGTACAAGAGCAAGGTTGGACTTGTTTTTTTTTAAAGTCTTTCTCTTTTCCCACTTCTCCTACACTCCTTTTTCTCATGCTCCTCTGTCTCTTTAATGTCTGCTCTTTATACTTCAAGTGTTTCTTCCCAGCCCCTATCTCTTACTTCCCCGCTTCTTTCTCTCAGCAGGTGCCTGTCAGTGACTCACCTCCACCTTGGCTCACTGGGCCATGGCGGAGGCAGCTCATTAGACTGGGCAAGGCTGCCACTCACTTCTCCCTGTGCTTCAGGTGCTGGGCTTCATTGCCTTCATTTGCATACCCAGCATGCCCTGTTCATCTACCTGTACTTGTTGGCCTCCCCCCTGATGATTCTATGGTGCACTTGTCTTGTGTTGTCGTGTCATTTCTTTGTAAACCTCTCTGCTTTCCTCTCTGCTTGTTTGTTTGTTGAACAAAGCTGATTCTAATTGGAAGCTGTCAGTGTTTACAATCCCAGAGTGGCTACTGAGGTGTACACATACAAGCACACACAAATAGAGACACATACACACAACACGCCTCTCTTTCTCCTCTCCTGCCTTGTTCTGGTTGGACTGAATGAAGACTTAATCCACCTGTCATGCAGGAGCTGCTCAGTCTGATAATGCATTAAACCCGACATTGCGTCAAAATGTGTGAGAGTGTGTGTTTCCACGTTACTGTACGTGCTGAATCTGTGTCTTTACTGCCCTCAGAACCTTTGCATTCAGGCCAATCCCCAGTGGAGAGAGCAGTTTGACTTCAATCAGTTTGAAGATAACCAGGAACCTCTGCAGGTAGAGGTGTGCTCAAAGAGAGGGAGGAAGGGTGAGGAATCATGGGGAATGTGAGTATATCCTGGTGGGTAGTGTTAATTTTGCTCACATTGGCTCCTCCACAGAACTAGTTGGACTTATGTGTTTCAATGGAGTGATTTTCCTTTTCTCAGGTTTGAGATTGACCTACCGAGATTTTCACCTAATGAGAGGCAGCTCTACACCCATGTGCTGGACCCAGGAAAGGGCAGGTTGGTGTTTCTGGTCACCCTGAGACCCTGCTGGGGAGTCTCCATCTCTGACATTGGAACAGCTACCTTGGAGAAGCCTGATGAGAAACACAAAATAGTGGAGAAGTTTGTAAGTGTGTTTTTTTGGTGTAGTTTATTTATATGCAAAAAGAAAAAAAAAAAAAGAAAGTCCCCAAATGTGGGTATAATATCCTGCTGCCAATTACATTTTAGAGATGCTTTAAAGACCCTAATGTAGTCAGCTGATTCAGTAAGGTGTGGTGCTGGTGGACATTACATTATTGTGTTAAAAGGTGTTAGGGATGCAATTTTATGGGGTATGTTTATTAACCATGCTTAAGAAAGGTGTTTGGATAAAATGTTTTTAATCAGATACATTTTTTTCAGAGTTTAAAGAACTCACACAAATGTGTGGGAGAGGTTGGCTTCCTTCAGGTCAAGGTTATAAAGGCAAATGATCTGCCGCCAACAGACCTCAATGGTAATCTCTAACAACAATTCACTCCTTTGTTTTTATTCTCATGTTCATGGCCTTTTCTTTATAATAAATAACAACAATTATTTGTTATTTGCAGGAAAAAGTAACCCCTTATGTGTTATTGAGCTCGGTAACAGCAAACTTCAAACTCACACCATCTACAAGACCCTCAATCCAGAGTGGAACAAAGCCTTTACATTGTAAGTAAGACGTCTGGAGAAAAATCAGGACATCCATCCTATTTGGTGTTGTATATTTTAATATCAATAATATTTGTGTAACTCTTATGTTACAGGCCAATTAAGGACATTCATGATGTGATAGAGTTGACTGTCCTCGATGAAAATGGAGACAAAACCCCAAACTTTTTGGGAAAAGTGGCCATTCCTTTACTGAGTGTACGTTTGTTAAAGTTTGTGAAGGTCTCATACCTTTGATATACAAAATATAAATTAGTATAAATATTATAGATTATGATGGTGGATATACTGTATTTTTAAATTCTAAAAGGTTCAGAATGGACAGCAGATGTGTCTGTTCTTGAAGAAGGAAAACTTGGGAAGTGCATCCAAAGGAAACATCACACTGGTGCTGGAGGTTATCTATAATAAAGTAAGGATCAAACTGAATGGGGTCAAGTTTGTTATAATGGTGATAAGATTCTGGATCATATAGTGTGAAGTCAAAAATGTAGTTAAATATCAGTGTTATGTTTTTGTTCTTTCTTTGTCCTAGGTCAGGGCCGGTATCAGAACCTTCCAACCGAAGGAGGAAAAATTAATGGAGGACAACCTGAAGTTCTCTAAAAAGGTTATCTCTATTGATGTTTTTCAGCAGAATTTAGCAGTTGGAACAAAAATGCTTGCCAGAAGGTTCCCCTCACATCCCACTAATAAAGTAGCCACAACAAAGCTACACATGGTCACAGTTTGGATCGGTCATAGTCAAGCTAATTAGTCTAATTGGCTTTAAACGTCCAACTTCACAAGTAGCAAATAATGGATTGTAAAGCTGATTCAACCTCATTGCAAAGTCATAAACATTATGTCCAGTATCAAATGATACTAACCGCTGTTTTGTTCCAATTATTTCCCATTAGGTTCTTGCCCGGAATATATATCGGGTTCGAAAAATCAGCACAGCAGTTCTGTACACGTTACAGTACATTAAAAGCTGTTTTCAATGGGAGAGCACGCAACGGAGTCTAATAGCCTTTCTGGTAAGTCATTGCCTCACGTTAATGAACTCTCTTTAAGCCTTGGGGCGAACAAGTTTTGTCCCATTTCACTGGAGCCCAGTTTTAACTCTTTCATTTTATGTGAATTAGATGTTGAGGAGAATCTTTGGTTTAGCCATTTTCTCTCGCTGCCAGTCTTTTTCCCATGAAAAACAATGGCTGCCTTCTGTTTTTATCCCATGTGTATGTGATGGATGTGTTTTATCCTTTAAATCAAACCCCACTTGGCTTTCCTTCACTTCTGATGACATTAGAGTGTATTTGAAGGGATGGGGTTTGGGCGTTTGTACATCTGACTTCTTAGTAAAGCCTTCTAACCCGGGGGACGGTGTAAGGAGGATCACAGTCTCAGCTTCCTTGGGTGGAGGAGTGACAGTCTGCCTCCGAGATTTGAACCTTGTTTAAATGTCTCTGTTTAGCTGTTTTTAATGAGGGTATGTGATCTAAGGTCCTAAGCTTAAATAATCTTAAATCACCCTGTGAATCCCCCTCAGTACAGCACATGTAATGTCATGATTAAGAGAGTACACTTGCTATGAAAGCCCTGCCAGCGCCGTGTCAGGGTGAGGAAGCGGTCACAGACAGGGTGTGTGAAGAACTCTCCTTTCACTGCCTTTCTTCTGTCTGCGCTGTCTCAGGATGACATGCAATTCATACCTGGTGTATTCTATAAGCCCTTCTCACTGATCCTGAGGTGCAAATCCCCCCAGGCAATGGCCAGGCTCAATGTATCACAGCCTTTAGAACAGCACGGCTCACAGACAGGCAGGCGGACACACAGACAGGAAGACAGAGAACAATGCAGGCGATTGTATAAGGATAGAGTGGGAGGCAGGCTGCTATCTGGGAAAGAAAGTTGGAGCGCAGAAAGAGGAAGACAGTTCAGTAAGAGCGCAGTCTATGAAGGTAGATAGCGAGAGACTTGGAGGCAGGGATATGGGCAGGAGGATAGGCAGGCTGACAGGGGACAGGTCAGCGGGATGGGGCCATCTTCTTCCACCTATAATTAGATCCTCCGCAGGCGATGGGAGTGTGTGGTGGCACACTCTAATCTTTCATTTCCACTTCTACTCCACCTGCTGTTTAGGAGTGCAGCACACAAATAGAGATCGTAGAATGAAAGAGAAAGACTTACACACTCACTGTTTTCATCATGATCATCATTGTTACTATAGTGTAGTGTTTCTCAGTCTTATTTTTGTCAGTTGTATGTCATCTGCTCCCTGACAGTGAAATGGTAATTCTTGTGACATTTAGTGTGGCTGCTATGTCCTTTTATTTGAAACAACTGTTCTGTTTTCAGACACCACCATCGGCATAGTGGTTGATATTTTTAAAGGCAGACAGTAACAGAGTAGTCAGAGTACGCCTTTGTCTGCAACGAGGTGTGCTTCAAATAGTCTAAGTGTCGAAGGTGCGCGGTGAGGATCGCCCAAACAAAGTGAATCTGCCACTGTGCATTCATCACCCACTCACCAGCAGACTGAGAGTTCAACGAGTGAAAAGTTTTTTTTATTTTTTTTCAATGGTTTATTATAATCTCAACAAGCCCGAAGCACAGTGAAACATGCAAATCACATGTAAATATTGCATGTAATTGCTATTAACAGGAAAAACTTTGAACTTACACTACTGTCTGACAGTCAGTGAGGGCAACAACACGGTCTTGACTGGCTGTCATTACAAGCCTAGTGCCATGCCACTATCCACACTTGTGCCCCTGCCCACTCCAAGGCCAGCCCCTGTACAGCCCCTCCTCCTCCTCCAAGTCATCATTTGCAATTAAGTTAGTGTTCGGAGCTGTCTAAAGCAGCATGCCACCATGTGCCTTAATGAAAGCAGCTCCCACTCCTATCTTTATATCTTTAGGCAGTGGTAATAAGGTAACTGATTCAGACATTGACAGATGGCCTCTGCTTGCCTCTCAGATGTGCATAATTATACCACTAGTGTCTGCTCTTTTCCACAGTGGCAGGCAGCGCAGGGCTTCTCAGGGTATGCCGGTAGGAAATGCTGCAGTGGTGGGTCTAGCTTTAATATACATTACAATACATTATTTATCAAGCAAGCAGACCAGTCTTACCCTTTTACACCATATACATCCTGTAATGCATTACCGCTGTTGTGGTTTCTACAGGGACTGCGGGATGCTCGCGTAGTGCTTTACCAGGAATACTTAGCCATTATATCACTCAGTCCCACAGGCCAATTTTCTGACCTCCACACAGCATGGAGTCTACATTTCTATCCTGTTTATGTAGATTCATGTATGTATTATGAAGTGGTTGTTGGTGTGTGGTGTGTAAGGTATTCAAATTTTGCATGAGGGATCACCGCTCTGGTTCACGTTAGTGAATGGCAATGTGGGAAAAATGAGGGTTTTTTTGTTGTTGTTGTTTGTTTGTTTTTTTAAGTAAAAGAAGAAGGCTTGTTTGTTCATACCAAAATAACTTTTCCCTCATGAATGGCAATCAGAAAGCTGCACATCCTTGGAACATATAAATTGAGCATTTACAGATTGATGGGTTATTTAGTTTTTATGCTACTACTGAGTGTTATTGTGTGAGAGGAAACTCTGTAGGCAATGGAAAGTCTTGCAGTATTGTCACTGTTTGCAAGTGCAGGAGGTTACTTGTTTTTATTGTGCAATCTCATCAGCAGTGTCCATACTGTTTGAAGTTGCCTTCGATTTCCCCCCAATGGGTTGCAGTTTTAAAATAGAGTCTAATTAGGTAATGTAACCAAAAAAAAACTGAAAAAGAAAAAAAATCTTTCTCACGCATTTAAACAAAGTTCTGGCAAATCCTCATAAACATTTTCATCACTGAACGGAAATACAAACAAGAAATTTGGATTTTTTTCCCTCTGCTTGTTTATGCTACAGTAATGAGCCTAGGATCTGCGCTTTTCAAGAGTTTGACAACAGCATGTTCCTTTCTCTGAGAGAGAGAAAATGTGACAGCTAAAATCTTCATAAAATAACGGCCTTTAGATGTGCTTTTCACTAAGACTGAGCGAGATGAATGTGCTATACATCAGCAGTGACTGCAGAGGGGTCACCCAGAGTTCTTTGCTGCACACAAGAATAGGACCTGTAGATGGAGCTACAGCACTGCTGGAAATATGAATGGCGGCACTAAGGAGATCAGTTACTTTTCCCAACAGGAGCCATTCGTGGGAACAACTTGGAGTGAAATCCTCCGTTCTGTGCATTAGACTAAGAGAAACAAGTTTCTTCCACCAAAAAAAAAAAAAAAAAAATTAAAAAAAGAAGAGAAGCTAAATGAGCATGTATTATCCAGCCAAATTAATCTGTTTCAGAAGTTTAAAGTTGAGAACAATTTTGATTTAGATGAAATGGATGAAAGTTAAAAAAAGAAAAAGAAAAAAAAGATCATTTACACTTGAAAGCTGATTTTGAGCTTTGCTGTCATTAGACCGCTTTAAGTATTTAAGTAGAATTAATATTTTAACATATGAGGTACCTCATCTGTCAGGAGTTAGACTAGAAAGAAACCTGTATACCTTATGTGAGTATTTCTTTTTGACACTGCCAGGTAGCAACCGCTTTAGACATCATTTGACAGCCTGTGAAATGCTGATTGCCTCACATCACACACTGTAAAGATGGCATTTGATGAATGTTTGATGCGGTGCAGCTGTAAACACACTTGGCAGCTGCAACGGGCGCTTTTTTGGGGCTGATAGAATCACCGTCTCCCCAGATGAGGGCAGGACAGGGTCAGATCTGGCTCCAGAGGTCTCAGGAGACCACCTGTGTAGAGCCACAGCAGTCGGGGCCATTAACCAGAACACCAGCCCAGCCGAGATCAAAGCTATAATCAGAGTTGTCATAATTGTTCTTGTTAACACTGTCCCTGAAAATGAGATGCTTTGTGAGTCTTGGATCTGCCCATTTGTGGTTTACTGCATTGCAGTGTGGCCGAGCTTTTGTGAGAACAGCGAGAGGACTGTGCGAGCCTGTGAATTGTCTCCTTGTTTCTGCTTTGCATCTGTTTTCTCTCTGTTTGAAAAAGTTGGAGGCCTTAAAGGAGTGGGTTTCTTCAGTCTCATGGGGGTTACACTCTCCATCGCCATGGCTGTGGGAGTTCTCACAGAATGTGCAGTGGGAATGTGTCTAGTAGGGAAAAAATGATGGCACTGATGGCGATCTGTGTATTCATAGTTCTGTGTCTGAGATCTATTAATTATTAAATGATAGGCTATGACTACTTGCAAGCTGCTCAGCAGTGCCTCCTGATTTCACACAGTATTATTATTTAGCTGCCCTGAATGGATTTGTGTCAGTTGACAGCTCTTGTTGCTGGCTGAATGCAACGTGTAACCTTGAAACATGTCCCCTTATTAGTGGGATTAATAAGCTTTCCCTGCTAATATTCACTTCATTAGGGCTGTGAAATTGTTCCCATTTTGATTTGTTTTAGGACATGGATTTCAGTTTTGAGAACGGACTTTATTCAATTTAAAATAACCAGATTCATCATTATTATTTAACATTATTAAACAGCATGAAGTAACTTTTAAGTATGAACAGGTTAAGTGTCTTCAGAATAATATTTGCATACTGCACTAAATGAACATGTTGACACCTGAGATGGCAGGGTTTTATCTGTGCATCTGTTCTACTTTGTTGTTATATATTATGCGTGTTTCCAGCCTAGATGAAGTGCGCTCTGCGTTTAACCCCATTGTGTGCGCTGTATCATAATGTCTGCCTCTAACATACTCACCACCTTCCTAGTCACAGAGGACACCACTCCCCAGGCAGCTGAGGCGGCGACCTGTCCGCCCCTGTGTGTGGCTGTTCCGGGGCCAGTCTTGGCCCCGCTGCGTTAACGTGCGTGTGAGCTGAGCTGACAGGGAGAGAGAGTCCATGCCACTCCCTCCCCACCTCCTCAGGGGAAAAGGCTCGCATGGCAGATCTGTCACCCAGGAGGTCGCTCAGTGTTAACGCTCCCGAC